GCGAACTCGAATCGTATGTCTGCAAGCTCCCTGAGAAGGTCCTCGTCCACAAGCTTCCTAAGGCTTGGCTTGGGCGGCCGGTACCTGTCACGCCTCCCTCCTCCGACCCTCGCACTCCTAGAACTGCCGTAAGCGCTCCTTCTGTCATCGTAATCGTCCGAATAATCTTCAGAGTCGGAGAAGGAGTGTCTGCGCCGATCGCGCCTCGAGTTCCCTCCACGCTCGGAGCCTCCTCGGCGGTAATCTGACCGGTAACCCCTCTCGTACGGGTCCTCATCGAGGTAGTCGCCTCTGTGGCTGGTTCTGCTGCGATAAGCTCTGCCGTAGCTCCGGCCATCCTCGGAGGCGTATCCCCCACCGTAATGGCTCGATGAGCGCTTTCTCGACGAACGACGCAGTGGTTCTGGAGGCTCCTCACCCGGCCAACCTTCGACTTCCCAAGTTGGGATCCAGGTGCCCCATGCCTTGGCGACGTATGCGCTATCGATGCAAATGTGCGCACAGGCTCTGCCTCTGTACAAGTCGTAGATGGTCTCAAGGGCAGAGATGACAGCCCTGAGCTCGGCCCTTCTAGATAGGGCTATCGTCGTTGGAGCCTTAGGGTTGGGGATATGTTTCGGCACGCGGTCCTCCTCGGGTAAGTTGATCGCCATGTTTTTGGGATGGCCCGGGCCGAAATACAGGGCTAGGCCTCCGGAAATGTGCGGGTGAATGATCGATCCGGTGTCGATAGCAGTCGCGCCAGCGAAGACTGCGATAGGGTAGCCTGCACAACGGTGATCAGCCATATTCCTGCCGGAAAATTGAGCCATGACACTCGACATCGTCTCGGTCAGTGGGGGCTCCGTGTATTTCCTTATTTTGGTGCCGGGGAAGACCTTGGCCTCGTCCAACGAAATGGATGGCCTTCTGGACCTTCCCCCAATGGTCGAGGCACCATCCTCTCTCGGATCGTAGCGGGCCGAAAAGCTCCCGCGGGATCTGGTCGGAGAAACTGGGTAAATGTCCGCCGACCTCAAGGAACTCATGGAGGGCCTCGGATTCAAGGTGAGGCGCGAAGCTGGAGCGTCAGATCTCCGGCTCAACCGCGAAGTAGACCTCGAGCGTGGAGCCAGGAATGAGTCTCGGCTGGCATCGGTGATTCTGCTGCTTCTCCTATCGTCGAAAGCTTCGAGGAGGAGCCTGCTACCTCGACCCGAGCTGATCCTCGAATCACGGAGGTTTGAAGTCGATTTTGGTGCGGTCAAACGGCTATTGGCGCGTATTCGGTTCTTGAACTCTTCAGGGTCAAAATCAGACTGGGAGTAAGGAGAGGAGCTGACAGCACTGTCGCGAATCCTGCGCTCCGCTGGTGACTTTGCCGAGATCAGGAAGTCCCTTGCTAAACCTGGAGACTTGCGCGAGGGCGAGTTCTTAGGCGAGTCTTTGAAAGTCGCGACCGAGCCTGCTTGAGATGTTGCTGGTGATTTTTGGGAGTTGTCTGACGTCTTGCGCTCGACTTTGAAGTGGGGCGGTGGACCTTCTGAAAGGCTGGAATCGTCCTCTTCCTCCTGCCCCTCCTCACCGCCTTCATCCCGACCGAGCTCGGAAGCAGATGAATCGGGAGCCTGGGAAGCCGACTGGCCGGCTGAGGATGAAGTGGGAGAGGTGGGGTCGCCGCGATCCCTTACGGACGCTGCAGTGGCGAAGGAAGTGAACGAGTCCCGTCGGCTGATGAGCGATGAAGGTTTGGTCACGCTGCTAGGACGAAGCTTGGTTGGGCGAGGAGGAGGTGAGAGCATATCTCCTACGTCGGGATGGGCTGGCTTGGGCATGATCCCAATTCAAGTCCTACCTGATGCGCGGGGGATCCGAGGGTGCGAGGATTACTTTTTTTTTTTTTTTGTGGGGGGGGGGGGGGGGGTTTCGTCGTGAACGGTGGATCCTATAATGAATGGTGGAAAGGCCACGGGGGTATAATGACTGACGGTATGGTGAGCTTTCCAAGTTCACCAGGTGGTGAGGGGTTGGGAGAAGGGTATGCGATCGTGACTAGGACGTGAGTTTGGTGATAGACATAAGAAAAGGGAGGGAAGGAAGGAGGGGAGGGAGGGAGGAAGGGAGGGTAAGATATGGGGAGGCGAGGTGAGAAGGCGAGGGGCTCAAATAGATTGGCAAGGGCGGGGGTCGGTTTGTTCGTTGGCTGTATGCTTCGAAAGGGGGGGGAGGCATCTTGGAACAGCTACACAAGGAGTCGTTTTAAAAGGGAAGACGATCGGATGAGGTGGACCGGCTGATTATGGACCAGATGGGGGGGTTAAGACCTCGGTAAAAGGAGTAAGGGAGAGAGGGAGAGAGGGAGAGAGGGAGAGAGCTTGCTGTTATTGTGTTGGACCCGGTTGACGTTAAGCATCTTTGGCGGTCTAGGCTTGACCCTTCTGTCGTGAGGGCGAATCAAAACAGGCAGGGTTGGATCAAACATTCTACGATTGTTGCTTTGGTGGTGTCGTTGTCAAGTTGTTGTTGTTTTCTCCATGTGAATCGTTTTCTTCTCCTTCTTCCTCCTTCCTTGTTTCTCGACGTCTCGAAAGTCGTGTAGAGAGAAACGAGAGTCGAAAGTCCCTTCCTCCGAGAGTGAGAGGTTGCCAAAAATGTTTACTAACCATACACTCTCCCGATACTCCCGACTGGATGCTGGCGGTCGCTCGCTTTCTTTTTCTATTTCTTTGACAAGAGGAAACTTGATCGTCGTGCCTGCTCGCTGGTCTCACCCTCCTGATCGAATGTTGGTTGATACATATTTCATTCGTGATCGTTTTCTCTTTCATGATCCTTCTTTTATTCACTTGCTCCTGCGCATAAAGGTTTAGTGTTAGGATTCTGGGGTTATGCGCCTTGCCAACCCTTGCGGAGAGAGACGCAAAACGGGGGGATGCGTCCTCTCCAGCCGAGGCAGCGGGGTTGGTTTCCTTTTCTTTTTTTTCGATTGCATGAATCAAGCGAGATCGTCAAACCAGTAGAAAGGGAAACAACCACAGAGGTCAAAGGGTTTTCAGGTTGGACAGATTCTTCCTTGCTCCCTCAATCTCCTTACACTCTCACTCTCTCTCCCACCTACCGTCCACCGGTCGAGTTTGAGTACACACACATGGTTCGTCAGCCCTGTTCCGCATCACTGGCCAGGATCACTCTTGTGAAGGGCGAGGCATCTATGAAAGTCGTTGTCGACATGAGGCGAGGGCGGAAAGAGGGGAAAGGCGGGTGGCCGTTAAAATGTTGGAGAATTGGGAAGAGGAGTCCAAGTCTGGGACCCTGACTAGAACTTTTCGCCACTTTCTAGAAAGAAGGTCCACGTCCATTCGGAATTGGCTTCACCTTTCTTTCGACCCTTTCTACAAAGCGGATCTCATCCATAGCAGGATCCGCAGGAAACAAGTCGAGACTTGAACACAGAAAGCGCTTCTTCAAGAGGCGCAAATCCACAGCCGCTAGAGTAACTCATAACCGAAAGCGCAAGGCTGGCAAAGTTTGATTGTGCGCGGAGGAGAGAGAGAGAGAGAGAGAGAGAGGTGAAAGGCTGGATTGGTCTGACCATTTTGAGAGAAGACACAACTTTCCCATTTCCAACCTAATCACGTACACCTCCTCCCCAGACGAGGGATCGTTGATCTTGGTGTCCCAACCATTCGGACGGGCGACAACCAAGGTATGAGTGCGTGTCTGAATGCTAAAGAAAGGTTGGTCGGAGGAGAGATATGACTCGGAACGAATGGCGTGCTACCAACTGGTGGTTCAAAGACCATAACAGGAGCCATGGTGACGAGGTAAGTTGGATGGTAGGTAATGTCGAGGTCGAGTAGGCCAACAAGAAACTCATGTTCCTCGTTTGATTTGTGGTTGCTTCACTACTCTCTCAGGACTGCGACTGCTGCTACTCCGACTCTCATTTTCCGTTCCCCCCACCACCGCGCGCTCTCTCTCTCGTGTCTGTGAACCCCACACAGAATTCTCACTCGATCAATTCACAAGCATTAGACCAAAACCCTCGCTGTGATTAGGATGGGGTGAAGGGATGATCAGGCATCGTTTCTGTGTCGGTTTTGATTTTCTCACCACCCGAGCTGATCCCTCGAATACACGTACAAGATTCGCACCCTTTTTGCCATGTGATTGTGGATCGAAATGCGATACTTCTTAGCCAGTGACCGGTATCGCGAGGGGAACTTCAAATGCATATGGGATAAGCATGTTCCTGGATACGTATCTCGTTGGAAGGGTGCAAGGAACCTCGTAAATCAATATCAAATGGGAAAAGAGAAGGCGAGTGACCCCTCCCCTCTCTCTCTCTCTCTCCCTCTCTCCAGCTCGGTGATAGTTAATCATGGAAAAAGGAGGGGAATGAGAATGCAAAGAAAAAGAACGAAGAAAAAGTGGTGAGGTAGAAGAGAAAAAAAGGAAAAAGATGATCTTTCCATCCAACGCCACCGATCGCGACCCAAAAAAACACATCCGACGTCCGCTCAAAGTGAGCAATCCAAGAATGATGAGAACCACCCTTTTTTCGTTTCACTACCGGGCGGCTAGCGGGTTTCTTGTTGACTAAAGGCTTCGTCACCTTCCGTGACGGAAAAAGATAAAGCCCAGATCTCTTGCCTAAGCCTCACTACCAAGGGTAATCGGTACCACTTCGTGGCTAACAATGCCAGCCGAATCCCCCTCACACGGGAACGTTCTTTCGTTGGAAGGCCGCATACTACTTGAAAAGTTAACGTCGCTGCCGATGATCGACCTTGTCTCTGTTGCCTGAGCTTTAGCACGACTTCCTTCTACACTCAGACTGTCTTTCCATCTCCCTTCCGCGATGATAAGAGCAAGTACTTTTTTTCGAAAAACGAATAGAGATGAATGATATATACTGTACCTTTGTCCAACCGCGAACGGTCAGAAAGGTTCTGGGAATGTAAAAATGCTGGTGCTAGGACACGTGCCGTCTAAAAAGGGATGAGAGGGAAAAAAGAATTTGACAAGTGTGGGGTTCGAACCCACGCCCGAAGACAGCGGGGGATGTTGTTAGAATTAAACGTATCCTAAACACTGCGCCTTAACCACTCGGCCAACTTGCCCTTGGTGATCGAGCGAGGGAACGAGTCAAATATATTGTTTATGACAATCACTTAGCTCCCATGTACCAAAGGACCTTTCTCAAATTTGTGCCATCTCTTACTAACCCCTCCCCTTCCCTCAAAGCAGCCGGAGTCAAGAATAGATATATCTTTTAAAGGTATCCCTCCTACGATTCTGATTGGTTAGTGCGGAACGTCTGCAGGGAGGAATGGTAAGACTTTGGTCTGCGTGATTCATCAGATGGGTTGTAGGAAATCTGTGGATGGACTTGAACTCGTCCAAGCCTACATAAAGAGCTCTTGACAGAGTGAGTCAAGCGAGATAACCCACCCCCCCCCCCCGGTGTTCCCCTGTTTCCTTTTTTGTTGAAAAAACAAAAACACAATCAAGGAACTGAGGAGTAAGTCCGGGGTTGGGAAAAAGGTCGAGTGCGAAGTTCCCCAAGGGTGTTCCAAGCTTCTCAGCGAAGTTTTGGGGCTCCATGCTGAAAATAAGTGCCCGAGCAAAGATGGGATGAATGGGGAGAATGGGGACAGAAGAAGAGGAGAAGGGGAGGAAGATGGGAAGACCTCTCATGAAACCTACGACATCCCCGTTCATCCTGACCCGTGTTTAGTAGCTCAAAAAACTGTCCTGAACAGTAACAACCAGACTTCATCATCCTCCTCATCTCTTGACGCTCTTACTGCAGTGCCGGGTGAGCCCAGTTTATAGATCAAGCGGTGGTTTATTTTTGGCTGCAAGAAATGGAAAAGGAGTCCGCGAATCGCCACACGGTGAAAGAAAGGGATCCGATTCTCGTTCATGACACTATCGCGTGGGAAACAATCTTCAGGGCCAGAGGAGGAAGAGCGCACACGAAACCCGAGGAAGCGATCCTCGCTCATATGTGAAGGTCGGGTGCCCCGAGAGCCGCCTTCGTTAACTAGCGCACACCGAAGACAATGTCTGATCGGGGAGATAGGGAACTGCAAAGAAACTTTTGGTTTCAAGGAAGCTTGCAATTGCTGGAATACAGGTCGTAATGAAGCAGAAAACAAGGTTATAGAGTATCTGGCATCTTTTAGACCTTGACTGCAGGTGCGAAAGGAAGGAGAAGGACAGCGGGGAAGAGGGTTGAATGAAGAATACATAGAACTGTGTCAGAAGTGGTTCCTCGTAGACAAGGTTCGCGCAGTTGTTAAGGAAGAGTTCCTATAAAATACTCACAGCCTCGGGACTTTCTCCTTCCACGAGCCTTCTCGAACTTGCGGCCCTTGGATCGGACAAATGGCTTGGCGTTCTGGTGTGGGCCCATGCCGAAGTGCTTGACGGACTCGCGAGCGTTCTTTGGTCCACGGAGCAAGATGGTGTTGGATCCAGTTGGGGCACGAAGAGCGAGCTGGTCGAGGGTGAGGCACTCACCGCCGGCAGCAATGATGCGCTCACGGGCGGTGTTGGTGAAGCGGAGAGCAGCGATGCTCAGCTTTGGGAGCTCGAGGAGCCTGTTGTCGTCGGTGATGGTACCGACAACGACAACAGTCTTTGGAGCCTCGCCCTCCTTGGCAACACCTCCCTGGTGACGGGAGAGGTAGATGACCCTAGAAACCGAAACTGGTGGGCGGTTGATCTTGGACATGAACAAGCGGCGGAGGATGACCTTGTTGAAGCGAGAGTCGGTCCTGCGAGCAAGGAAGCGGTAAAGCTAGTAGAGGGAGGGTGCAAAGTGAGAAACAGTGAACAAACTGACCTTTTATAGCTCCGAGCACGATCAATCCTCAACCTTGACCAAAAAGATGGCGTGGCGCCATCCCAATACCTTCCGCCTTGTCCTTCCCAATCTCGCAAGATTCCTTGCCCGATCGTACAGCTACCTGAAACGGTAGCTAGAGTCATGTGCTTCCTCACATGCCTTCCCCAACTCTATCACCTCGCCTAAAGTGGTTGATCCTCACAATCCCAATACCCGCAAGACAAAGGTGTTGCATTTCACCCGAGTCCTGCCTACCTCGATGGGACGTTCACACACGTCCGAAGTCCCAGTGTCATTTAATCTCTCGTTGCCCGATTCCTCTTATTCATTGTCCTCTTTGGGCTTCCCTCCCGCTTTCCCCCCATCCACTTCCTTCGCATCTTTTGCCCAAGGCTTGATGCTCACCTTGACGAGCAAGAGGAGGTATGGGTCCTCGCTCTTTGGAGCGGTACGCTGACCGTTCTTGACGTGGTGCTTAGCAATATCGATACCCTATTTTCGAGGACCGACAGCATAGGTTTGTGGTTGAAAATGTCAGCGAATCCCATCTTATCTCTTCTGATACCTGCACGCCAGCATACACGTCAGCCTTCCCCCTGCCTTCCATGAAAGCAAACTTCTGTCTTCGTTCCCCTGAAACCCATCAGAGCCACCTTCTTTCCCTTTCCTCTTCCGAAATGCCTTCAACCCATTCCTTGCATCACCCAAAGAGTTGGATTCCATGGCTGACCCAATCCAGTTGTCGTGACTAGCATGTTGCTGAGGGTTGAGGCTGGCTCTTGAAGAGTAGGTATGAGAAAAGTGATATTTGCGGGTTATGTCGTCCCGTTCAGACGACGTTTCTTGGATTCGACCTTGAAGTCGCTTCGGCTTTAATATCCTCGATGTTGGCGTGCGACAGATACCAGCATGTATCGCCCATGGCGGTACCTTTATGCTTCGCCTCTCCAGCCCAGTCTCGACCACCTAAGAAACTGACCCATCCCGACGCACCCCACCTGACAATTATGACCCGACGTATATCGAAACTATGCGATGGATTCCGTGGTTGGTGATCATCATCATCTTCGACGACTTACCATCTTGAACCAGTTTCTTGAGGTGGACGGTAATAGACAAGGGTACGGTGTGGGAGATATGCTGACTTTGGCACGCTCGCAGGCCTGCCTGACCTCTCTCTTCCTCACTCCCCCTCCCCCCTTTTCGCCCATCTCTCTCTCTCTTTCGGCCCTCTCCTTCCGTCTGTGCCTTCACTCGCTCCCAAGCCTGGGTCTACTGCCTTCCCACTCGCCTTCCTCCAGCCAAACCGAAACTGCTCTCAATCCTCTCACCTTAGCCTTTTTCCGTCCCTTGTTTCCATCGTTCTCTCTCTCTCTCACACACACACACACTCTCTCTCTCCTCCCCTCTCTGTGGTCACTCACCTGTGGTTGAACTCTTCTCTCTCCTCACCCCTCTTGATCTCGCTTTTGGATTCCTCAATTTCTTCCCCTCCTGAAAAATTTCCCACCCTCTGCCGCTGACCTAAAAACTGTATTTTTTTAGTTTGTCACGTGATGTTCCCAAGACGTGTTCTCCCTAATTCCTTAGCTCGCACTTGACTCTTTGTCGCCTTCTTGTTTAAAAAAAGGAAATCGTCCCCGATGATCAGAATCGGGAAAGGGATGACAAGGCTGCATGATCGGGATGCCTGATCGATCACTTTGGTTGGCTTACAGCTAATTTCGAGCCTCGCGTTCTGGAGGAAAAGATCAACATCATCATCTGGTCGCCATCCTAGTTCCTCCACCATTCTTCCACCCTCTCTCCAGTCCTACGGGTGCTCCTACCAATCTCGCTCATTTATCCATCACATCCTCCAACACTGCATTATGGTTAGTCTTAAGCTTGCAGTGCCCTATAATCTGTTCATCCTCTGCTCGCTCTTCTCTTCCTCTGATGATCAGTCCAACGACTAACCTCCACAACTGCCCGATCCCCGTCCTTCCTTTTCTCCTTCTCAGGATTACTCCGATATCGACGCTGACAGGCGCCCGGCTCGTGACCGCTCCACTTCCAGGTCACGATCCCGCTCGCCCATCCGCGCTAAGGATGGTGCCCCTTCTGGCTGGAGTGCTAGCCCCCCGCCAGCGAGATACTCTCGCGAGCGTGACGATGATCGCGAGAGGGACGACGACCTTGACCGTGGACGCGACCGTGACCGTGATCCTGATGTCCGTGATCGTGATCGCGATCTTGATGACAGAGATCGTGATCGTGATCGTGGTCGTGATGACCGTGATCATGATAATCGTGAACGCAGCGCTAGAGTTTCAAGGTGAGGACCATTCCAGGTGCTCGCAGCTCAATCAGCCCTCTTCAGAGTGGTCAGCTCTTTGGTTCGTCAAGTACATGGGTAGCTCACTACTGATTCTGAACCCCACACATTGTCATTTCCAAAATCTCAGGGACCGATCCCGCTCTCCTCCACCTGCCCGTTCTCGTCATGCGCCGGCCAGCGTCGACCCAGGCCCGGTCCTCGGTGTCTTTGGTCTCAGCATCCGCACTGAGGAGCGTGACCTTGAGCAGGAGTTTGGTCAAATCGCTCCGGTCCAGAAAGTCGTCATCGTCTACGATGCCCGAGTGAGTTAGATATTCTTTTTACAAACAAAGGACATTCAATGCCTTTTGGCGAGGGACAAGCTTGCTCATCCAATCTGAAACCGAAAAAAACTCGGGCGTTCATCTGGTAGTCCGGACGATCTCGTGGATTCGGCTTCATTACTATGCAGGACACGGACGGTGCCACTGAGGCTATTAAGGCATTGAACGGAAAGGTGAGTCCAACAGCACCAATACAGGATGTTCGCATCCAGCCTATATCGTCGGTGCCTTTCGCTCACACGCACTTCTTCTTCCCTTCCAACACCTGCCATGTAGGACTTGCACGGTCGCCGTATTCGCGTCGATTACTCAACCACCAAAAAACCGCACGACCCTACTCCAGGCGAATACAAGGGCGACCCAAGGCCGGACGATCGTTTCGACCGAAGTCGCTACGGAGGCTCGCGATACGCCCCTGGTCCGAACCGACGCGGAGGAGGATATGGCAGCTACTACGATCGACCTCCACCACCAGGTTACGGCCGGGCCCCCCCCGGATACGGACGTCCACCTCCACCTCGCGGATACGGGCCAGACTACTCGGATGATTGGCGCCGTCGCGCCAGCCCACCACCCCGCAGAGAGAGGCACCCACGATCTATCAGTCCACCACCCCGTTCCAGC